GGTTTACCAAGTTTTTGGAGGTTGTTCTGTAAAAGAAAAGCGGCAAGGAAAACGACGCCTCGAAGCAACAGAATAGCAAATCAACCATGCGAACGACTTAAAATCCGAGTTTCCGCGGCAAAACCTAGCGCATGCGTATACGTTATTCAGCTCTGTCGACGTTTCGAGCGTTAGTCGTTCATCTGATTGGCTGATCTATATCTTTAGCTTTAGTCGTACCACACTCAACCGAAAGCATCTCGGAGGCAGGACTAAAAAATATTGGGCCCTCAAGCTCGGGACCTTTACTTATTTAGACTGATATGACCCACCGAACCAGCAAATTCCTTGCACAGGACTTTGTTAATTGATTTCCCGCTCCAATTTTTATTACAGCTCTCGTGGATCTCAATGGAAGATTTTTTGGCGGTCGAACTGTCAGAGGTGCATTCTTCAACTTGGATAAGTTCAGAAGACTCGATCTAATGGCCGATCTTTAATACAGAGAAAAGGCCAGATACTCATTTCTGGAACTTGTTTACCAGTCGACACGATTTCAGATGAGAGAAGAAGTCCCACAGGAGAACCAGATACGATTTCATGGAGCAGCCCAAGTGTTATGTCTATTAAATTGACCAAGAATAGAGAACTTTACATGTCTATGTTTGGGAATTGCGAAGAGACTGGGTATCCTAAACGAACTTGGCTATTTTTTCGGTGGAAAAGTCTTTTAGCAGACCCTGTTTTTTTTTGTTTTTTTTTCCTCTTGGTTCATCGCACAAAGCGTGAGGATAAATATCCATAAATGCAATAATTTCTCATATCAGTTACCGTTATATTTTCAGGCAGTTTTTCGATTGAAGCAGGTAGATTTTTCATCGCCTGATGCTTTCGGAACTGACCCAAAAGTATCGGAGAACGAAGTCGAGAACTTTGATCCGACTCTTGCTTCACTCATAGACTAAAATACTAGTATAATGAAGGGACATAGGAAACGTACTTTTGACCGCGATTGTCGTTCAAAACAGATGGTAGACCCAAACCCGTGTAATTAAAAACGCTTTTTCCTTGTTTGTAGTGTTAATACGCTGTTGTAAAAAAATTGTCATAGTAAATTTGGATGTACCTCTGCGTCTTGCCAAGAACACCTATGCATTTTCAATGTAAAGCCTTTCAAATTGTACCCAAATCCCAAAGGTGATTTTCATGTAACTTCGCCTTATAATTTTTATAAATTATCCATCAAACAGGTAGTGAGAATACTCCACCTTACTAGGTAGTAGTTCTTTTTCTGATCTAACACCAAACTGTGGTAACTACTTTGCAAAAAAGTGTGTTGCAGCTGGAGGGATTGGGGGAAAGATCTACTGACAGCTCTTAAGAACTGTGGTGTTAACCTCCATAATCACGAGCAGGCTTCTTTACTTGTAGTTAAGAAAAACCTGATAAGAACTTGGTTGAAAACTAATGAAAAATGTTTGCAAAGGCTAGACAGTTTAAGTTGGGAGCTAAATAGAAGAGTGATTTTCCGACAATTTAGGTTGAACCCTAGCAATTCTCCTTACTCTCTGCCATACAATTTTTGTCATGTAAGTTTGGAGAATTTGGTATTGGAACAACTAAAAATCCCCTTGTTGATATTTTTCTGTATTCTCAACACTTGCCTGCTTGATATTGTAAGGAGAAATTCTGTCTTGGTCACTCATGGGAGTTGAAAGTTTAAAAGAAAAAGGAGAGTAATTGGAAGGTATTTCCAATGGAACTGAGGCAATTCCGTTTTGTTTACTACAGGAAGACAGAGTTTTCCCCATATATGCTACAAGTGTACATAAAAAGGGCTACTTTTGTAGTTACTTGGAATAGACTTCTCATTTTTTACTTCTAGGTCCTTCCTGGTTTCTAAGAAAAAAAAAAACTGTCTCTAACCTTCATTAAAAAAGAAATTAAGAACATCCTGACAGTTTGAGAATTGAGAAACACTTTGAAACTTTCTTTCTAATGACCCTGTGTAAACTTTGCTAACAACTAAAATAGTTAACAATTCTGAAGACATGATTACGAATAAAGTGTCTCTGAAACAACCACTTTGTACCAAAGGTTTACATTTTATTTAGTTACATTGTACATTCATTTCAATCTATGATCTACTAATACAGTGCACCAAAATTTCCACATTTCACAATCGTGCAATAACAATGCAACACTATCACATAAATCTATTTCCCTGCGGAAAAATGTCAAGAAGATATTGAGTAACAATGATTCCCCACCCGCTTATACAGACGAATGAAACGCTACAAAAAATTTTATGACTACCGACATTTTTCCATGCAGGAGACTGGGTGAAAATTGTGCCTGTCCTTCACAGTAAATATCATACACCAACATGATACAGACTGTCCTTCACAGTAAACAATGTACACGCACATGATACAGAGCAGGCAATTACTTTTTTTCACCTGCATGCCTCAATTATTTTCACAAATTTATTTCATTGGCCAGCGTAGGATATGTTGTTACAGAAAGGACTAGCACTGTTTTCTTGTGATAAATCTCTCTTCTTGCACTAGATTTCAAGGAACTACAGACGCAGAGCTATGGCATTCAGCAGGCACAGTCATTTGATTTAGCTTTGTTGTCATTTGAAAGTCTTATTTGGTCTGGGAAATCATTGTATAACTCAACCTCTGTCTCCTGAGCGAGAGCATTTTTGGCAATGGTCTGAAAAGCTTGCTCCACATTGATGGCCTCTTTTGCGCTGGTTTCAAAGTATGGAATGTCATTCTTTGAATGGCACCACGCTTGTGCTCGTTTGGCCATGACCTGAAAAGTTGGTGATCAAATATTAGTTGAAAAAGCATCGCTAGCCAGCAGTTCAAGTGTCTTGTTCAGGAGAGGAAGTGGGCATCACCCATTTAACAGTTAGACTCCCAGATCCAGTCAGTAATTTTTCCTACTAACTGCCATACTTTTCTCATAGATTACAATGGAGATTTTGGACTTGTTCCAAAACAACACCCTCAAGCTGATATGCTTTGCTGTCCTTGTGGCCCTTTTACAAAATAATTCATTGTAATTGGAAGAAGTTACATGATAATCACTCCTGGGAGTTAAACGGTTAAGAGGTTGCTGATTTTCTCTAATCCACTCTGTTGGATGTAAGATAAGAGTGGAAAGAGGGGGAGGGGACAGAACCAGAAACTTCCAATTTTTCTTTCCCCTCTTGCCTGTCCTCCACCCCATCAGTGGAACTTTTTTTTGCCCTTCCAGGGTCCAAACTTAAATTTTTTAGGCAGGCGCCAACTGGCGACTGGAGTTTTTTTTTTCAGTCGCCGTATGGAAAAACGTGGCTGCCAAAACGTGACGATAAAATGTTTCCTTTGCAAACCTCCCATGCTAAGTAAAATGACCATCAAACTTTTCATGGAGGAGTACTGAGTGCTCAAGTATCAAACAATGCTGTCCAAATTGCTAAACCAAACCAACACCATACATATAGATCCTACAAACCGCCATTATTTTCATTTGTTCATTTGTCATTTCCTACTTCAGATAAACATAGTCTGTTTATGAGCCAAGTGGCCCATCAGGCTGCTTAACTCTGGTTTCTGTAGCAAAAGCAACAAGGACGGGCTGCTAGTCCATCACAGGGTTACCCCCAGCAATAAATTTGCTGGTACCCATTTAATCACCTAGGTGAAGAGAGGTACTCTGATAGTAAAGTGTCTTGGCCAAGAACACAACACGTCCCAGGCCAGGGCTCTAACCCAGCTTACTCAATCCAGGGCTGAGGGCACTAAACCATGAGACCACCACACCCCACCTCAGATAAACATAAGCCATAGAAGTACTAACTCACCACTCTGTTTTCCAAGTCAATTTTGTTTCCTAAGACAACAAAAGGAAAGTTTTCAGGATCACGTGGGCTAGCTTGGATGAGGAACTCATCTCTCCAGCTGTCTAGTGTCTTGAATGTAGTTGGTTGTGTGACATCAAAGACCAGCACACAACAGTCTGCACCGCGATAAAATGCCACTCCCAAGCTTTGAAATCTCTCTTGACCAGCTGTGTCCCATATCTTGTTAAAAAAATAAATTTGAAAAACAATTTAGATGAAATTCAGTAAAGTATTTGCCACATGAGAAGTAGAAAGAAAGCAAGTTGCAACTTGAGGTCGCAATACCTTGCCCACATCCATAATTTATTACACTGAATAGATGTAGAGCAACATGGAATCTGTTAAATTGATTTCTGCAACATTAGATAGGGAAGGGGGGCTGGGGCTGAGGCTGGGGAGGAATTCTCACCTACAATCTTTGCCACTGATAAGCAAAGATTTCTTACACTTGGGAACTGACCACACCACTTCCACACAATGTTAGAAGAACTCTTCAAATAGTATGAACGATAGTGTTTCACCCTCAAACTCCAAGAGGTAAATAAATGTGTAACTTCTCCCTATAATAACCATTGATTATCCAGCAATTGGGTAATGAGAACACACAAACGTATCAGGTGGAAGTTATCTTGATCTAATGCCAAATTCTTGTTACTAATTTGTAAGTAAACATGTAGCAGTTCAAGGGGAGAATTCACACACAGACCTTAAGAGGTAAAGGGTTCAGTCAAATCCCTGATTAAACCAATTTGCCATGAAGCACAGAAAGTTGCTTAAAATGCAAAGGGGCCTAATCTTCTTACCTGCATTGTAACTAGTCTGTCATCCACCATAACTTCCTTTGTGAGGAAGTCAGCCCCAATTGTTGCCTTGTATTGATTACTAAATTTTTTGTTGACATATTGGTTCATGAGTGATGTCTTGCCAACCCTTAAAAGTAAGAACAACCACTGGAGAATAAATATTAGAACTGTCCAACATCATCTACACTTAACCTATTCAAGACTTGGAAAACATGGATACAAAAATTCCAAGCAGACAAATTAAGTCACTACCGAGAGAGTTCTTTGACATGCTACAGTACAGACACTGCTGACTTCTGTTGTAAATTCATTGATGTTGAAACCATTCTGTTTTGATTACTCAGAACAAGATAAGCAGCTAATTTCCAGTGGAATTAACAGGTTTATTAGGTTCAATCAGAACAAAAAAAATCTGTTTTTTCCTTAACTAAACCCAGCACAAACAAAATAATTGTAACTTAAAATCCAATAAGAGAAAAAGACTTGTAGCATTGACAGAAGTGAGAAATGAATCGTTACCCTTTGAACACACTACTTTTCACATGACAATTTTCCAGTTGAGAAAACCACTGTTGATTTATGATTGAAAGTCATACGTGCAGCATCAACTGATGAGCATAAGGGACAAAACTATTGATGATGAGTAAAAATTAACAAGGACAGTTTTCCTCACCCACTATCACCCAAGATAATGACTTTCAAAAGGACCTTCTTTCTTGACGCCATGGTATCTAATGGCCAAACCTTCGAAAAAAAAATAAAATCTTGATTAATATAAGAGATCCTGTGGTCTGAGGAATAACAATCCAAGTTTTGCTTCAACAGATAATAGTTCAAGCCTAGAACAACCCTAAACTTCCATGAGAGACCAAGACAGAATTTATCCATACAATATCACTACAACATAGACCAGACTGGTGATGAGAATAAAGAAAAATATCAATAAAGGATTATCAGTTGATCCAAACTAACATTATCAGAATTATTACAGGGTTAGGTCAGAGTGTCATGTTGTTAGAGAAGATGCTACCCTTTCCATGTCCTTTTTTTTCAACCAGGAGTTGAAACGAGTACCAACACAGAAACTGTTCAGTTTTCCTCCAATGGTTGAGGGTTCTTAGTAAGCTATGTCCAACAGCTATGAAACTAGCTACTTTAACAAATGAGACCCCTGCTTTTCTGACATTCTTTATGTAAGTTGCTGACGATTCACTTAAAAGCCATTTTAAGAAATCACTTTCATAAAAAACTTACAACTGACTTTTTTTTCTTGAAAATCATTTTCACAGTTACTATACTATTAAAAAATAGTTCACCCCTCAATCTCTATCTTGTGTCAACTGCCCCACTGTTTGATTGCATAACAATGTGTAATATACCATTCAAAGTTTATAAATTTCCTTGCATTTTCTGGCAGATGTCCCCTGACCCCCTCATTGGCTTGTGCTTTTGACACTTAAAATGTAAGCTGTTCACTTTGTAACAAAAGGTTTTAGGTCAAAAAACCTATTTTAATCACTCAGACAGCAAGCAGTTACAAGTTGAAAACCACAAAACTAACAACCCCAAATACCAGGCCATACATAAGTGGCAAACATACACACATGCCCATGAACTAATCACAATGAACAAACTACTAACAATCCAGCAATGGTATGGGCCTGAAAATTTCCAACTGTATTTCATTACACACTTAACCTCTCTACTCCAAAGATCTGATTGTTAATTCTCCCCTCTAGCTTCAACATGTTTCCTTGTAAAGTGATTACAAGAATTTGGTGTTTAATCAATGTAACAACTTGTACCTGATGCAAGTTATCCACACCTTAAATAATTCTATCACATCCATCACTGCCGCTCGTTTCATCTGTCGCTTTGCTCATAAACATATGTTTCAGCTTCACAAAAGGCTGTTATTGGGAAGCATTTGTGGTAATTTGACCTATTTGACTGTTTGTTTGCAATTATATTCCGTCAAACTTCAGACTACTTAAAACCTGTCCAAAATTAACATATTTACTAACATTCTCATCGGGAAGAAACGTTAGTCAACTCTCTCACAATGTCAAAAGCCCACGCTGAGCTTTGTCGAAGAGCGAACCCACTTTTTATTCAGAAATGAAGTTCACTGAGAACTTGAACCCAAGAAGACTTCAAATATGTGACATTTAATGCCCAAAAAGCCATGTGCAAAGAAATACTAAATTCTGAATTTTTGGTCATAATGGTAGCCATCCACAAAAAGTTCAGCTTGAACTATCTTTGGAGAGTACGATGAATAAGGACATTCACCGTCAGATGCGATTATTAACCGAACAATGCATGATTAGTAAGTCTATTAAGTCTACCCAGTGCTTTCCTCAATTGTTAATCGCAATAAAACACTACTTGCGACTAATAATTGCATGTGAAGTCCTGTGCGATTAATAATCTTAATTTTGTGACCTTACAACAAATAATTCTTGAATTTTTCACTCTGTAAATTAAAAAAAAACTCTAGAAATTAATAACAGGGTCTCAAGTGACAAATGACATTTAGAAAGTGGGAAAATGGGAATGATAGTGACCAAAAAATAGGAAATAAATAGGAATTCTCACCCCCCAAAAAGGAAAAAAAATAAGAGGATTTCTTTGAGTTCTATTCTCTTAACACTCCCAACAGCAACTCTGTTCCACAAGCCAACGCTTCAATATTTAACATACATCCACAATGCATTGCCGTATAAACAAACACAAGTGTTACCATCTATATTACTAAGCACAACTCATCCAACAACAGTTACCCAATTCTAAATTTCATCAGATACATTGCAAGATGCCTTTAATTTAAGTCATTAGTCCTTTAAAACTATGAGAATTATAAGCAACAACAATTTTTTTTGGACAAACCGAAACAATATTAAAGTTCACTGTCACCAAATGTGTGTCTTCCTTACAATAAAAGCCAACCATGACTTTTGAACATCAACAACCAAAAAGTCCAACACTATGCTGTTTTTGCTCTTTTAGCAGATTGGGTAACCTTAGCTTTGCTCTTTTTTTTGGCAGCATTTGCTGTTGAGGACATGGCCTTATCTAACTGTTTGTGCTGTTTGTCAGTCAACAGATTTCTCTTTTGTCCTATTTTCTCCAAGCTTTGCATTGCTTGGTCTTGCTTGGTCTTAGCAGTGTCAAGCAACACTGTGGCTACATTAACAGTTGGTACGTTGACAGATGTTGCTGGAAGGGCAACTAGTAAAACCCTAAAAAGATAGGAAAAACTAAGAATTTCATGAAAAAATAGGAGACAAGGAAAAAATAAGAACTTGACAGCCTGTAATAAACACCTGTTTTCAGGGAGTTAAAGAGTTAATGCACTAAGCCATCTGATCAAGGCCTTATAGACAAACATCATATCTACAGACGAAGCAATCCTCCAAGTTTTTTCAGAAGAAAGACCTGAGAATGGACCCAACTCTTTATGCAGCCCAAGTGAGACGCCAAACATGCATTAAAGTGCATTTTTTAAGCTGGCTGAAAGACAATCATGGCACTTTAAATTTAATCTAAATTCTTTGTTGGCTTCCCAAATACTACAATGGCACGATAAAAGTGATTAAAAATATGTTTGGTCTACCTTACAAATACTTCACCTAATTTTTCTTTCCCAAAACTAAAAAAATTTCTAGTAAATTATCTTTAAAAGACTCCTTTTGTAATTTTCACAATGAACACAGACTAAAAGAACACTCAGCAAATTAACCTAAGTTCTAATTTCTACAGGACTAGCATAATAGTGATGTTTATACAAGAATCAAAGCTATGTTTGATGCTCATCGTTTGGATTGTTCCATAAGTTAAAACATTTCATTAAATAAAAATCCATAATGAAATTTCTCAGACTGAGAAGATAATGCTAAGATTCGATTCATCAAATTTAGTTCAAGAACTTTTCTTCAACTGAATATCGCATTCAAGTTGGATAGAAGAGGAAAACGTGTGACAAAGAAAACTCACCGATGAATTTCGAGAATTAGGCTTCAAAACGAAACTAGTTTAAGTCCAGTTCCTGTGTACTGCACTTTGACCCAAACAGTTTTCAATAGACAACCGTGTTTTAGATCAAACAAAAGAGAAAAACCATTACCCAACCAACAACAACTAAAGGCAACGAGTAAAGACCGATCAGAAGTCCCGGATAAACGCCACGGCGCTCATATTGACACTAACCAATGTTCAAATTGCACCTCGAATTACGAAATATAGATCGCAAGTTCAGATTTACAGGAAGGAAAATTGCCTTAGTTGAAAACTCTCCTTTCTCACACAAAGCACACGAAAAGGCTGGGAATTTATCATATTACTAGCGATCTACAACGATGCAATCAAAAGGGAATCGCTTGGGCATATCATGCCGACGTTTCAGTGAAACATCACTAATCTTCCTCCGCCATTTTTTCGCTTCTATCGAGCTCACGACTAAAAAAATCTTGCTTCGTGCAAAGATCTTGGGCGTAAATATCGAGCAGTGGTTCGCATAAGGTAGAAAATACCTCAAGATATAAGTGCATAACTAAATTTTGCCATTGAAACTATTGTACTCACCGGGTTTGAAGAAACAAACTAACGAAACGCTCGTTGCGACACACTAACTCTAACGTAATATGGCGGAACCCTGAAACACAGGTCTCGTGACTTTAAGACAATCGATATTTCATGTTACGTCATACCCAGCCTCGTTCTCATACACATCCAATATGGCGCCGAAGGCTATCCGGAAAGCAAGTCCGTCCAAACACGGTGGTTTTGGTGCAGTAAAAGATTTTGTAGCCGACTTTTACAAAAATCCTATGAAATGGTAATGTTAATGAAGGTTTTTCTTATCGTTATATTCTCTTTCTTTGGTGGTGTCACCGTAATAAACGGCCTGATGTAATGAGTAAGGTATGTTCACGTGGAAAGCACGTTTAGTGGTCGAGGTGTTATGCATCTTCGGCCGGTTTTGTTAGAGTGAGTTTTGCAGTTCACCACTCCGCCATGATCATACGACCTAGATAATGGCCAAACTTGTGGTTGAATAGTGTGCGTGGGAAATCCTAGGTTTTGACGACGGGCAATTTCGCATTATTTTTCCAGCTAACGACAAAGCAACACTGAAACAGAACAACCCAACAGATTTCAAGGCTCCAGCATGATCACCAAGGCTACTATGCCATCCTGGCAGGAGGGGGGAGTGGAGCAAGGGGAGGGGGTGTAAAAGGAGGAGTTTCTTTCTCTTGTTTTTAACCTCAAAACCAGGGAAATCTTCACACTGTGTAGGCTAGAAACAAACTGTATTAAGGGTCCAGTTGTGTAAAGGTTGGATAATTAATGTTGTCCACTGGATACACTGTAAGTGATCACCAAATGTACTACAGTTGAATCTCAATTATCTGAACCTCAATTATCCATATTTATTGGTTATCCAGACTTTTTCTTGCATCCTAATTTTTTCATGAATAGTTCTAAGTCATGATCAAGATCTGTAGCCATATCTTTTTTAAAACTACAGCATTGAAAAGTGAAATAAAGGCGATGTTCTTCTTTAAAACAAACTGACTTCAACATTTTAGGCCAATGTAAAAACATTTCTTGTTAATTTTTATTTTTCATACACAAGTGAAGAGGTACATGTATTCACGTAGGACAGTGAAGATGTAGACCATATCTTTTTCGAAACGATTTGTAAATGTGTTTTGCAGGATTAAATGTCACTTTCGTAATTTAATCAGTTTTTGTTCCTCATTAATTTTCATATTCTTGATTATCTGGACCCTCGATCGTCTTGACTACTGTATTTACTCGAATAAGCGCTGCGGTGCTTATTTAATTTTTCGCGCCACAAGTGCGGCGCTTATTGAAAAATTGTACCAGACATTTACTTTTTCTACATTTTTATTCAACGGTACACTTTCTATCTGTCAATTTTCCTTTGGACTGACACTAAACTGATAGTAAATCTAGAATTACGAGAGAAATTCATATGGTGAAAAAACCCCAAGCGTTTCATGATAACCCGAGCAGAGAAATACAGTAACTTTAAACAAAAGGACATCACATTTAAAGAATATAAATTGCCGATGCTGTGTTAAAATTGTTTTATAGTGTTTTCAGCTGGCTATACAGAATTCCTCAAATAAGCGCCGCATCGGGGGTGCGGTGCTTATTCGAGGGCGGCGCTTACAGTGTAGTAACTTTTTTTGCCCCAGATGCAGCGCTTAATCAAGGGCAGTGCTTATTTGAGTAAATACAGTATTTCATCTAGTCCCAGTGAGTCTGGGTAATTGAGGTTCAACTGTACTCTATCCACGGATAGGTTATCCAACCTGTCAACAGCTGGGGCCAGGGGCCTATTTCTCAAAGGTCCTGGTAACTCAACAGGGCCATAGAGCTGTTCTATTTTCATTCAAGATGGAGATTTCAAACATTTTGAAGATAATACAATAAATTGAGCAGCTAAAGAAACAAAATCGACTGGTTAGGGTAACAGAGTCTCCTTCTCTATCCTCTAGCTTGGTCAGAAAAGGCACCATGTATTCCAGGAATTGGGGTCAGCAGAGAGGGTGAATGTTTCACTTTCCCTTTGATTGATTTTATGTAATCAGTCCTTACATCATACGTTCATTTGTTAAAGAACTAATAACCTGCTGCCCCTCGTAAACTTCCACAAAGCTGACATGGTTTGATGCTACTCTGGTTTAAAGAAGTAATGAATGTAACCAAAATTACAATTCATAGGCCCAATGTTTCAACGCTCTTGTTCAGTGCCTTCATCAGGGGGGGATCTGATCATTGCAACAAGAGGCCCTTTAATATGCTCACTAATTAGCCACTGTTTTTTTCCAACAAGGTGTAAATTGGCATCGGGTAGTAATGATGTAATGTTAATATTGTAGATTTTTTAATACTTGTACAGTTTTAGGTTCATTATTGTTGTAACGTGCTTTTGATCACCTGGCATGTTCAAAAGCGCACTATAAATCAATAAATTATTAAATTATTAATCCACCATCATCATGATTTAAAGGAACGTGGGCACAAAGCTTTTAATTTGTTGTTGTTGTTTTTTTTACAAGCTAAGTTAAAATTAGAAAGTGCATCTCACTGTTCTTTATCTCATTCTAGGCAGCTGATAAAACACACTGCAATATTCATTCTGGCTGTGGCAGCTGCAAGAGAATTTTCAGACATTGATCTTATGGCACCTCCTCCACCTCCTTCATAGAGCCTTGGGTAAGCAAAAGCTTGCAATATTTTTTTAAACTTTTACCTATTTCAAACCTCAAACTTTTCAGGCCGCTGTGTCTCCCATGTAAAAAAAGGCAGAGTCTGCACTTATCCCAGTCTCTGTATCACTTAGCAACAAGGAGTATTACTATTGTCACATTCTTTGTGTTATCAAAGTGCACATAGTACTTGTACAAGCTATTGAGAATTTCGTGATTATCGGAAATATCGTGTGATCTAGGATATTAATGTTTCATGTTAATTAACCTTTGTTTGTATGAGATAGTTGAGTTGAGTGCAAAGTTTGTATAGAAGAAAAGGCTTTTGAATGTACGAGTTCAGCAAAACTCATTGAAATCTTTTCTCAGAATTTCTAAGTTTTCAATTCATGATATTGTATACTTGGAAGTCTGAGAAACAACAGCCTTAGGAAGTCTTTACAACTGCTACCCCGTGGAGGGAATGCTAGGCCATCACAGGTTACCCCTCCAGGAATTTCATTAGCTTTCCCCAACAGGTTGCCGGCACCATTTTTATTATCCAACTACACTCTGTAGAGTACAAATAACACCCAAGACGAGTACAAATATCATGCGGTATTTGTACTCCAGAGAACAGGTTAGACAGGTTTACTCTCATCAAGCAAGTGACGAATATGATTGAAGTTACAAAAAAAAATGGCGCACAATTTAGATTATATTTCTTACAACAATAGGTTGGAATGGCTGGCAAATATTGATCCAAGTTTATTAGATAAATCAAATGAAGGAAAGCAGTTAGACGACAATTAAATTTCATCATTTATCAAAGAAAATAGAAACAGCAACATGACAATGCGCTAATTTGGTTCCCTTCGCATACTTCTGTCACACACTCCCCATAAATAAATATCCATGAAATTTGGATAATTAATAAATTATTAGACAGTTTGTGTGTCATTTTGCTTAGTATTTTTACTTGTTATTTATATTTTGACTGACCCTATGGGCTTGTCAGAATATGGGGCAACTTGTAAGAATACTCAGTGATACTACACATTAAAAGGGTTAATAAGATATATGTACTCCTGGGTGGTGAGAGGCACTGTGAAAGTAAAGGGTTTTGCACTAGAATACAATAACCCAGCCCTATCTCAACCCAGGTCCTCTCGATCTGCAGTCCTGCAAGTCGACTAGGTAAAGTCTGTTTATGAGCCTAGTGGCCCATTAGGCCGGTGCTTAACTCCGGTTTCTGTAGCATGAAGCGACTAGGAGTATTTCTACTCCCCCTTGGATGGGATGCTAGACTATCGCAGGGTTACCCCCAGCATTAAATTGCTGGTACCCATTTATACATCTGAGTGAAGAGATGCACTGTGTAAGTAAAGTGTCTTGCCTAAGAACACAACACAATGTCCCGGCTGGGGCTCGAACCCAGACCACTCGATCCGGAGTCGAGCGCACTAATCATGAGGCCACCGTGCCTCCACTGCACGTCGACTGCTAACCCATTAACTCTCATGGGTGACCAAGACAGAATTTCTCCACACAATATCAATACAATACCAAGCAGATTAATTATGAGAATAAAGAAATATATGAATAAGGGATTAATAGTTGATGCAATACCTAATTATCTGAACTAACCTTAAAATAGCGTATGGCAGACAGTTAGGAGAGAGATCACTCTTCAAGTCTAGTATACATGCCTCATAATAAATCTTTTAAAAATTTTGTCTTATTTTCAGGTCACAATTGCTTCCTATCTGATGGATGGCATTTTTTACCAATGCAGCAAGACTTACGTGTGTCAGTGATCAACCAGATTTCTTTCCTGTAAATGTTCAGAGTTCAATGCTGTAACTCATCTATTAAAAAATGCCGGTTTTGATTTGTGATTCTCAGTTCTTTACAGCTTAGTTGGTAGATCAAAAGACTGTGTAGTTGGAATTTCTGAGGTGTGAATCCTTGAGGCGTTCTGATCAAGGTTGTCAAACTTTTCTCTTTTTCTTTGATTACATTTTTTTTTTCTTTTTCGTTTTTATCTTATTTTGAAGTCGGGGACTTTCTTTCCTATCATTATCTGTAGAGAGCATACAATACTTTCGAGCTTGGCTTGAAAAGCTTTTTTTTCTTGTAGACCTGGTTTCTTCAATGTCGAACCAGAACTTGCCTTGTTCTGCTTTCAATAACACTGTCACTCATAGAGTTGTATAATGCTTTTTTTGTGTTTGCAAAAGCGAATGGGCGATGCTCGATCCTATCAAGGGTCGAGAACGACTAAATGTCCACATCTTGAAATAACTAATTTGCACAGTGGGCTTTTACTTGTACTTTCAATTAAGCGTTAAGCAGCGAAAGCCCAATGAGCTTTGGATGGGAAAACTAGCTAAACCATAACTTCTTTTCACCTCCCCGTTGCCTCTAACTGCTGCCAGTAAGGTCCGCCACCATCAAGCGTGCAACAAAACCTCAACCACGCAGATTAAAATCTAACGAGAATATACCGGGAAGGGGACACAAGTGCTGAGGTGATACGAGATCTTTACTTCCTTCTCTGCCTCCT